ATATATATATATATATATGCACCACTGATAAGCTCTGATATGCGCGTAACTCTTGACCAGTGCTTTCCAAAAGTATGGTTGATACGGCAAACTGAGAAATGGTACGAAGATGAGGTATGAAAGATAGTGTGATATAAAGGTTGAGATTCGCTTCTCTCACGAATAGTTAATTTCGAATAGCTTTGTAACTTACCCGATCAAGCCCTCATCTCTCTCCCCCCCCTCGTGCACATGTCCTTCTTCTCTCCTTTTTTGTCTATCCAGCTTTCGAGGAAACAGACGATCCGAGAGGCCGTAGCTTCTTCTCCGAGATCATCAATAACATATCAGATTTGAATTTCAGTCATTCCGGTCGCTATATCCTCAGTCGGGACTATTTAACGGTCAAAGGTGAGCTCAAACCCGCCCATAAATATATGAGTGTGTATGCCTGTGTAGCCGTTCGCTTCGTCAAATACTGTTTCCTTCACCGGTTTTCCTCCCTCGACGTATCGAAATCGCTTTGGAAAATGTCATCTCAATTTTGCTAGCACCCCTCCGCCGTCCCCCTCTCTTCGTTCACTCTTTGTCCCGTTTTTGACAACTCGAAACCTGCAATCTGGTATGCTGAACCACACAAAATCCTAAGAGGTTGTTTATCACAAATTGCTGTGATGATAGTTGGTGGTGGACTTCAAGCGTGGATCAAAATATGCCTCGTGCGCTTGACTTGTCTAACGCCGTTCAATAGTCATTCTTTACTCTCCCTTCCTTAATCCATATCAATCATTTGGATACATATCGTTTTATTTAGTTACTTCGCCTATCTCCTGACAGGGCAATCGGCTAACCAAAGCCTGATCTGCAAGGCACCGGGGCGATGTGTGAAAACCGCAATCCAATTGGGGGCCGGTGTCCAGTTGATCGGATCATACGCCCTTAAGACGTCCAAGGTGCACCTCGATGCCCAGTCGGGCCGGTGACCACTGCCACACCCGAGAGGGTGTGTGGTTCGTACGCCTCCTATTGATTGGTTTGGATTCAAGGTTTTTGACCAATTCCCCTAGGTGATCTACCAGTGGTCCACCAACCCATTTATAGCCCCGGATGTCTGCTATTTGTCCTCTCACTTTGGTGAGAAACGCCTCCGCAACACGAGAAGGCAGTGAGTAGGGTTTCCTCAGCAGAGGCTATTTGAGACGCTTGGTCGTATGGGAGCATTTCGTGAGGTGCAAGGGAAGGGTGACCAACCTCAACCCTAGACACCCACACCCGACCATACTAACGCTTTCGGAGGTCGCACAGACAGTGTAAGGCAATTTTATGTGTGTGTGGGGGGTTGGTTGGTTGGTGAGTGGGGGGATGATAAACAACTTCGCTTATCACTACGTTTATCCGGTTTGTGCTTCAGATCTCCGATTACAAGTATTTAAGTTGCCGGCTCTTATAACCAAATAATCGCTCTTTTTGACCAAGAGGCTCATCACTCTCGGTTGTGCAGTTGGAATGCGTTCATTCGGGGCGATTTACGATCAGCGTTCACATCACGCTCGATCTTCACAATATCGCCTAACAATCGTGCACTGCTGATCCTATCTCCCATCTACAGTTTTTAATTTCATCATCATCATCAACTTTTGTCCCTGTTGTTTATTGGTTCTCCATCAATCTCCTCAATATCCTGTTTGCCTAGGATTCCGAAAACTGTGGAGACCAATAATTATTAGTTGAAGCCCCAGATACAGATAAAAATCATTCGACGGAAATCAATACTTTTTATTTGGATATGGTTGATTCCCTCCTTCCACGACTTGTGCACGCCCCATACTGCTACAGCTGTCTAGATATGGTGATTGTCTCGGATCTTCTGGATAGTTTGTTGGGAAATTACAATCGAGTGCGATTAATGGACAGTGCTCAAGTCCATTGCATTGACTCCGTTGTTCAGGTGTATGAATTGAACTATTGTCACATCACTTCACGTCTGCATAACCGCTTCCGATATCCCTCTTTCAGAAAATTTAATGAATTTTTCTCTGTGGTTATATTGTCATCATTATTATACTCACTCACTCATTCATTCACTAACTTGCATTTGTTCCTCTACTCCGTTTTTTTTACTTGTGTACAGTTTGGGATTTGAATATGTCACGGGAACCAGTGGAAACCTATCTGGTGCACGACTATTTGCGCACAAAACTCTGCTCTCTGTACGAGAACGATTGTATATTTGACAAATTTGAATGTCAATGGTCTCCAGATGACCGGTAAGTTTTCCCGCCCCCTCTGCACAATACCATTCCAAAGAGTTAATTATATGATAAATTCGTCGTGTAATTGAGGTGGGAGCTGAAAAGCACGAGACAGGTGTTTCTACCTGGTTGGATTTCATCAACAGTGCGAATCTGTCGACTCAACCGGGGATCGAACACAGGACCTCATAGGTAGAACTCCATCGTACTACCCACTCGGCCACCGGACAACTGATCAGACCGCTTCTCACTTTAGATATACACATTATGGCAAAACCCATCCTTGCGAGTATCAGTCTTGGCTCATCTCAGAACTAGTATCCAGGGTTATGACTCGGTTGGAAACTTTCACAATCTAACTGTTCAAATGTCATGAGTTTCCATCGAGGAGTTGCCGAGGAACTTTCCTCTTGGCATGCTGCTAGAGTGGGCGCTTACAGCTGGAGTAACGCGAATTGAAATTTGGGGTTGTCTATCTCTCTCCAGGACTACAAAGCCTATTGAGCTGGATTCGATGCGGTAGTGAGTTCGTGTTTGAGGTATTCCCAAACACTCGACGACTTACTTCTAGGTCACTAACCCGCTCACTCCATCCCATTTGAACCGGACTACATAAGCACTGATTGTCGAAAACCACTAGGCGACGGATGTCTTCTACCCGCAAATTCAGGGTCTCACAACCGTGAAGCAGAATTGATCGTACAATGACGCAGTATAGGCAACTTCTCAACTTCAGGTGAGATGTCACGTCCTGGCCTTAGGGACTTGGCAACACCACGTGTTGCAGCATCGCTTTGCACTTTGAAGGAGTAACAAAATTTTATAGTCTGTCTAGGACGCTTTTCGCATCCTCCATTCACGGTAATTCATAATAATCGGTTCTGTTCTGCAATGCTCAGTGAGAAACTGTGATTTTCTGGTCAATAATGATGTTATATATGTAATCAACTTGATACTGTTTTTTTTTATTAAACACTTTCGTGGGATGAACTGCAGACTGGGAAAGCCTCATAGTCGCGAGGACCTGTTGTTCAGTGATGGAGACCGGTAACCTAAGCCCCCCGGAACTTGGAGTGGCGAACCTCATAAGACCGGACGATAGAACAACTGCTTACCACCAAAGTTGGGTGGCGGTGGCGTGGCTCGAATCTCGCGCCAAAGGGTCCAAAGCACGTCTGTGACAGTGATTAAACCACTGCACCATTGTGCATTTGAATTCGATTTCACTTTTTCTTTATAAATGATCTCAGCTTGCTCGGAACGAATTCGCAGATTGACACTGATTCACCATTTATTTGATCTGTTGTCCCCGTCGCGTTCACCCAGTGCCCTGTTTCCTTTTCTATTCGCATGTTTCGTGCTCCAGGTACATCATGACCGGTTCATACAACAATCATTTTTGCGTGTTTGACCGTTTCTCGGACTATGAGGTTCTGCTGGAGGCATCCCGTGAGGTGATGGAAAGTTCACCTGTGGGCAAACTTCGTCCACGAAAAGTGGTATGGGGTCTGCCGGTTGTCGCGTGGTCTGAAGACAAGATCAGTGTGGAAAGTATGGATTTCAACCGAAAACTCTTACATTTATCCTGGCACCCGTACGAGAACAGTGTGGCTCTGGCCGGGACCAGTACACTCTATCTAATCGACTATTATCCGGAATTGGAGAATGGGGAGACCGCCACAAAACCCGGAATGGTTGTCATGGATATGCAAGATGTGGATGAAGAGGAACAGAATGCCGAAATGCGTGATCTGACCGCGGTGAATCGAGTCGATGCAGCCGGGGATCTAACCGCTACCGCGACGATCGCATAACGCGGTCGCGCTGGTTCATGCTCCAGGTCTCCCATTCCCCCCTCTTAACTACACACAAACTACCCAGAATGTCGTACTATATTCCTTCCATTGCCTGTTGCACCACAAACACGTTTTTTCGAGAACAACGCCACTGGTTTTTCTCTCTTTAGAGGTGTGTACAGGTCAAAACGTATTGCTCACTCCGCGCATTTTTTTCTTACGCCGATTCTCAATGTTCGTTTCCCTTCCGTCCGTCTGTCTGTCTGTTTATCGCCTTCATTCCCCGGGTTCTTGTGCTCTCGTTCAACCAACTAATCCGTCCGTTCGATCATTCTTGGCTAGCCCGAACCCTTTACACCCTCCACCAAAATTCCATCTACTCACCGCCATTCTAAGTTACACCCCCACCGAATTCCCCGTACCCACCATATCCTCTTCCGGTACCATCGCTACCTCGCCAACCTCCGTTTTGTACTCTGACCATCACCGTTGATCATGCTCATTATCATCGACCGGAATGCAGCTGGTGTTTGTGTTTCCCCATGTGCTCGTTTTGACTCCATCGTAACCACCAACACCACCACCACCACCACAACAACAACAACAGTTCTTCATTCTTCTTCCCTCCTTACCCACTAAAAAGCTTTCGGAGATGACTGGGTTCGGTGAACGAGGGATACCTTGATCTTGTGCTATTTTTTGAGAGTAGAGGACATCACACACGCACACACACAATTCAATGACGTTTAAAAACCAATAAAATTTATATATACATATATATATATATATATATATATATATACGGTTAGCGGTTTTGGAAAATCTGATCACACACGCTTTTGTGTACTCGAGAATTCAAACCTTTTATCTGTCTGCCCGATCCCGTCTGTCCATCCCCAGATCATCATCATCATCATCATCATCATCCCACCACGTTCCAGGTCCCTTCTTGTACAGCAGCTTCCCTCCGTGAAGTACTCATTTCTATGAAGTAAATGGGCAACTAGTATGTGTGTGCGCGCGCTGCGTGTGTTCGTTCGTTCCTCATTCGAGTTCGCGATGATGATTTTCGTACTCCGTACTCCCCCCGGTATCCTTCCATCGTCTATTAGTGCTCAATTCATTCTCAACCCTTCCTCCCTTTTTGACCACAGTATCTCTCCCGCTCTCTCGTCTTTGCCCCGGATTCTGTGTCATATGCACATTCTGGTATTAGTTGGAAAACCGTTCTTTTTGTCAGTTTTTTATTGCGAAGACGAAACATCTATTAGTCAATCTTGTTTACTCCGTTGTGTCTCGATGATGATGTTGATAATGCTGATGTCCACGACAATGGTGTTGATGATGACGATGCGAAGTTGGTCTTGATCTCATGGTACTCTGATCGATACAACTACTTTATCCCGGTTCTGTCTGTTCTGTCTAGTTGTTGTTCCACACCCAACCCACTTTTCGGGAGACTGGGAGGGGGGAGTACAACTCATGTGTTTGACTTGCTCATCTCCGTCTGTTCTTGGATATGAAGCCTAATGAGAGTGTGGTGGTTCGTTGGTTTCCTTCCAATCGGTATTTCCGTCTCCCGTACCGTTCTTTCCATCTCCTTCCTTCCTGTTTCTGTATCGTTTTTCCATTCATTTACTCATCCATCCATATTCGAACCAGATTTTGCTATTTTTTACTAATTGAGAGCCTGTTTCTCTTCCCCAGTCGTTTTTCTCCCCCCGCATCACTTACCCCACTCGAACGTGACCGATTTTTGCGGTCTCGTTTCCACCGTCCGTCCACTCAGATCACGCGTGTACCACCGGCTCCGGGTAGCCATGTCTCGTTCCTTCCCTCTCCTC